TAGCGTGGCTCGCTGCAGGGTCACTGTCGAGGTGGTGAGCAAGCCACCCGCAGGAGCTGTGTAAATTCTCAGGCCGGCAACGCCGGGGATGTTAGTCTGGATAATGTCAGAGATGAGCAACCAGGCTTGGCAGCGGGGTTATAAGTGGATTTGGCATGAGTGCTTGGCTCAGAGAAGCTCTGGGGCACGACAGCCCCACGTGGCCACAGAAACGGCCCTCCAGAGCAGGGCCACCGTCTGGTAAGGGAGATCATGCAGATCTAGCCTCACCCCTCCTGCTTCCAACTCTCTGGGGCTCCCCACTGCCTCTAGGTCAAGGCTAACTTGTTAGCTCCCCTGCCCTCATTTACCCACTTCTTCACCCACCAAATATTTCGACAGGGCTACTTGACGCTACATACTTTACACATCAACAATGCCCCTGAGTGACCCCCTCGACCACTTTTTCTCTTGGTTAACTTTTGTGTATCCTTCAAGACATAACTCTAGTGTTGCCTCCCTGGAAAGGCTTCTCTGACAGTGCTGGGCTGGCTGGGCTGCCCCTCTATGACAACTTCAAACCTCCTTGCATATTTTCCTATCTGGTTTATGTGCCTGTCCTCTCTCTGCCTGCTATGCTTCCTCACCACTGGGTATAGGAGCTCAAAAGTGACTTGGAATGAATGCCAGTCAGACTGCCCCAGGGCCTTTGCACACTCATTTCTTCTTGCCTCTTCATCTGCTTCACTCCTTCTCTTCCCTCAGATCCTGTTTCAAATAGTCTTTTCTTGGGGAAACCTTCACTGAACCCCCAAACTCCATTCTCAGAACACTCGGTTCCTCTCTTTCAGAGCAGTATTACAGACTGGAAGCAATTAGCCATTTTTTCATGTCTGTCTCTCCCCGGTCTTTCCTTTCTCAGAGAAGGGCACTGCTCTCAGGCCTCCCTGAGCTCAGGCTGAGGAAGTGGGAACACACCCTGGTTCTCCTCTCTCCTCCTTCACAACCCACGTCTAATCCACCACAAGGCTGGCTGACTCTGCCTCCAAAATATATATCAAACCCACCCCTTCCGTCATTTCTGCCATCCCGGCTCCCTAGATTCTGAGGAGCCTCCTTCCTGCCGTCCCTGCTCTATTTCTGCCCTTCTGGGCCCCATTCCCCACATGCAAAAGGCATAAGTGACGTCACATCATTCTTCTGCTCAAAATCCTCAGCCCCTTCTCACACGGTGAAATCCATCTCTGTATCCTATGGTGAGGTCGGCATGATCGGCCCCTGCCCGACGCTCTAGTCTTCCACCTCTCTCTCCCTCCCTCACTCTATCCAGCTGCCCTGCCCTCCTCCATGTTCCGTGAGCAGTGAGCATGTCCAGCTGCTCCTGCCCTGGGGTCTTGGCACCGGCCGTTCCCTCTGCCAGATATT